TTGTTGTTGGGGGCAATATGCTGACTCTGTAAACCGCTTAGAGAGGGCTGAAAGCCCTATGAAGCGGTATATAAGTCTAACTGCTATTGCTAGATATGTTCACCGCCTTGAGCTGTTGATGAAAATACCAAAGGCAGGAGAAGAACAGAAATCAATCAATCAATCAGCAATCCAACCCAGCCGACTTACTTCACAGCTGAGGCTGCGCACACAGGCCTGGCGCACAACGCTGAATAGTTGGGGGTGGCTGGGGTGCTGGTGGCTGATGTACTTGATCGACGTTTCCTTGTCGTGGCTGATGTAGCCCGGATGTCCGGCAGGAAGGGAGCGACAACCCTAAGAGGGGAGAATGAAAAAAAGAAGAAATGGACCACAGGAAGCACGGTGAATTCCAGAAATTGGAGTCCAAATGTTAATGACAGCCATGTTAACTGCATGGCTGGCTAGGGAATTCTGGGAATTGAAGTCCACCCATCTTCCACTAATGGGCCAGGTTCAGAAATTTGGAAGAAAGCAAGAGGTAGTAATGCCATTAAGGGAGAAATGACCATAAATTGCAAGCCGTCACTCAAAAAGCCAATTTGGATCAACGATTGGCACAGGGACAGAGGGGAGGGGGGGATTTTTGGTGGTGGTGGGGAAACAGAAGGAACCCACTTGCCTCACACATGTCCGATTTCTTGGGCCCTGGGCTGCTGGAGTCCACACTGGCGCCTTCGGCCGGGCTGTGGGAGCGAATCCTGCTGCTCATCTGAATGCCACCTTCCTCATCCTCCGCCAGTTCGCTCTGCCCGGGGCTGTCTCCCCCTGGTGGGCCCTGCGGCAAAGGAGCGTGCAAGACCTCCGTGCAGAAGAGGGTGCGAGGGCCGTGCAGCTCGCAGAAGTGGCACAGCACCACAATGGCATTCATGGCTGCTGCTGCTGATCCTACTCAGCCAGCTGCAAAAAGCCAAGCATTCATGTGAAGGGGGGGGGGAGGGAGAGAGACACCGACAGATTAGACAGATATACAGCATAGATAATAAATTAGATATAGATGATAGAGGATGGATGAATAGAAAATAGATATATAGATAATGATAGGATGAATAGATAGATATAGATATAGATATATGATAGGATAGATTAGATAGATAGATAGATAGATAGATAGATAGATAGATAGATAGATAGATATAGATATATGATAGGATAGATAGATAGATAGATAGATAGATAGATAGATAGATAGATAGATAGATAGATATAGATAGATGATAGGATAGATAGATAGAGATAGATAGAGATAGATAGATAGATAGATAGATATAGATAGATGATAGGATAGATAGATAGATAGATAGATAGATAGATAGATAGATAGATAGATAGATAGATAGAGATAGATGGATGATAGGNAAGCTGTTTCCTGACAGAATACTTATTATTGGACCAGGCTGTCAAATAATTCAACTTCACACCATCCAGTTATTCTTATTTTCCAAGAAATATCAGCTTCTTCAAATGTTCACCAGCTATAGCTACTCCTCGACTTATGACCACAACTGAGGCCAACATTCCCATGGCTGAGTGAGTTCTGCCCCACTTTACAACCTTTCTTGCCACGGTTGTTAAGTGAATCACCACCGTTGTTCGATTAGTGACACAGTTGTGAACTGGATCTGGCTTCCCCATTGATTTTGACTGTCTGAGGGGATCACATGACCCTGGGACACTGCAACCGACATAAGTACCGTATTTTTCAGAGTATAAGACGCACCTTTCCCCCCCCCCCCAAAGAGCGTAGAAATGTTGGTGCATCTTATACACCAAATACAGGCATTTTTGGGCCTCCTGAAGCCCCACACCTGCATCCCATTTTTGCGAAAAATGGGCAGTTTTTCGCAAAAACTGAGTCTTTTTTTGCCTTCCCTCAGCCTCCAACAGCCCTCTGCAGGCGTCAGCAGGTTTGGGGCAAGGCAAAAATGCCCTATTTTTGTGGGGGAAAAAGGGAGGAGAGCCGTTTTTCACAAAAACGGAGTCTTTTTTTGCCTTCCCTCTGCCCCCAGCAGCCCCCTACAGGCTTCAGCAGGGCTGGGGCAAGGCAAAAGTATCCCTGTTTTTGCAGAAAATGGGCGAAAAAAGGGCTGTTTTTCACAAAAAATGAGGCTTTTTTGTCTTCCCTCAGCTCTCTGCAGGCTTCAGCAGGGCTGGGGCAAGGCATAAATGCACCTGTTTTTGTGAAAAACGGGTGAAAAAAGGGCCATTTTTCACAAAAATGGAGGCTTTTCCCCTTGCCCCAGCCCTGCAGAGTGCTACTGGGGGCTGAGGGAAGACAAAAACATTCTTTTCTTACTTGCCTCGTTGAAATCTTGGTGCGTCTTATACACCGGTGCGTCTCATAGTCCGAAAAATATGGTACATGCCAGTTGCTAAGCAGCTGAATTTCGATCACGTGACCATGGGGATGCTGCAAATGGTGGTGAGCGTGAAAAACAGTCAACTTTTTCCAGTGCCGCAGCAACTTCAAAGAGTAATCAAACAAATGGTTATAAGTTGAGGAGTGTTGGTAGCAGCCCAGAACTACTAAATCGTAGGAGAAAGCACAGTGGTTTAACCAGGCCTCCCACCTGTCCAGGTTCTCTGCCTGGTTACTGGGTGGGTGTGGCCATGGTCGTGGCACGACAAAACCGCACTCGACTAAAGCGCGCCCGATTAAACCGCGTCGCTGACGTCATCAACAG